CCCCCCCCCCCCACTTCCAATTTTTACTTCATAGTCAGCAGATTTCAGCTCCTTTGGTAATCGGTGATCCCCAGATGCCACCAACCCCCACCCCTCGCCATTCTCATATCTCCCACCCTTCCCCCATCCCCTTCTCGCATCACCCTACCCTCATTCTTATTGTCCCTTGCCCACCACCTCACGTCTTGTGTGTTCTCCCCCTCCAATCCCCAATTGTTCTCCACCACCCCACCCCTCCCGACAATCCAGCCGCTATCCACTCCCCCCACCCCTGGCTGGTTCTGGGATCTCGCCCTCAGGTTTTAACTCGCGATTGTGACACCATTCCACGCTAAAACGCTTCTGCACAAACAGCTTTTTTGCTTCGGGGCTCTGCTGGGGCTATGACAGGGTTCCAGGCGATTTAACGTCTGTCTTCATCGAGCAGTCAGCGCTTGATCAACAGCTAGCTCTCTCGCCTCAGAGTCCGAACATTGTGGTCGGCACCGAGGGAGGGCCGCGCCGTCGGAGGGAGCTGTCTTTCAGATGACGTGGTAAATTGTGATCCCACCCTCTACGTTCCACTTGTGGAACTTCTTGAAATCTATTTCAAACGGGTGAAGGGGAGTTTATTGGTCAAACCCTTGTCCCAACAGGAGATGAGCTGCTTATTCCTTTCACTGCCATTGCACATGGGAGCTTGCTGTGCTCAAAATGGCTACTGTGTTGCTGACTTGACAATAACGACTGCATTTCAAATCAATAATCTTATTGGTTGTAAATCTTGTGGGATGCCTTGTGATTGTGGGGGTTGCTACAGGAATATTTTTCCTTTTACTTCTCCCCCTCTATTTTCCTTCATCCTTCAGTCCTCCTGCCCTTTCGTCCCGTCACTGTCCTCGCCCCCAGCTGCTCCAGGTCCCTCCCTGACCTACCAGGGGTTGGTAGGAGACTGACTGACTGTTTCCCGTTTTCCATCTCTCACCCCATTCCCACCTGAAACCAGGCCCAGAACAAATAGAATCGCAAGGCAGTCCAGTTGAGGTTGTAAGAGCAAAGAATCAGAAGGAGGCTATTCAGGCCATTCTACCATTCAATGAGATTGTGGCTGATCTGATAATCCTCCTCTCCGTACTTTTCCCCCATGACCCTCGATTCCCTTCCTGATTTAAAAATAACTCTTATCTCAGCCTTGAGTATACTTATGTATAACGCGGGTAAGTGGATCTGAGTCCATGAAAAGATCAGCCATGATCTTATTGAATGGCGGAGCAGGCTCGAAGGGCCAGACGGCCTACTCCTGCTCCTAGTTCTTATGTTCTTATGTTCTTATTAGTGACCCAGTCTCGACAGCCCCTCTGCGGTAAAGAATTCCACAGATTCACTCCCCTCGGAGAGAAGAAACTCCTCCCCATCTCTGTCTTCAGTGGGCAACCCCTTGTTCTGAGATTATACCTTCTGGTCGTAGACTCTCCCACAAGGGGGGGAACAGCCTCTCCACATCTCCCCCTCCCCCCACCCCCGTCAAGTCCCTGTAGAGTCGTGTACATTTCAATAAGGCGGTCTCTCACTCTTAACTCCAATGTGTAAAAGAGGCCCAAACCTACTCAACCTCTCCTCATAAGACAGTCCATCCATATGCAGGGTCAGTTGAGCGAACCTTCTCTGGATGCCTCGTATAGTTTTAGCAAACCCTGCCTACGTTTCGATTCCATTCTCTTTGAAATAAAGGCCAGCGTTCCATTTGCCTTCCCTGTTGGATGTCGACTAGCTCATGCTTGTTTCCTCCCGAATTGCTGCGACACCCAACAAGGCCATTCAGGCCGCTGTGTCTGTGCCAGCCCCTTGGCTGGTGCCCCCGTATCCCCAAGTGTTATTCGGTTCCCCGTGTTGTCTGAGGGGGGCAGCATGTTCCGCGCTGAGAGTTCCCACCGGGTGTCGCAGTATTCCTGTTGTCGCTCGCTTTCAGCTCGAGTCCTCCTGTTTCCGAGCCTCCTGCCAAGGAGCACCCCATCCCTCCCTCTCTGCTTTGTACAGAACCCCCTAGCACCCCGCACCTCCCCACCCACCCCCATCCCCTTTTCCCTGGGGATTTTGAACCTCTCCATCAAATCCAAACCGTCCCTCCACCATCTTTTATCAGTTCTTGCGGTGAACTCGCTCCCCAGGTCACAGAGTCACGCAGCGCGGAAACAGGCCCTTCGGCCCAACTCATCCATGCCGGCCCGGTTTCCCAAACTCAGCTAGTTCCATTTTCCAGCCTGTGGCCCCATATCCCCCTGAACCGTTGCTGTCTGCTTTATCGTATCCGCTGTCACATTGCCGTGTGTTCTCTCCCACCTCCTGCCTGCGGACGCGTGAAAGGCTTGTGGTCACTTCCGTGCTGAAACCCAGCACCAGTCCCTCATCCCCTCCTTTCCCCTCCTTCTCCCCCTTTTTCCCC